ATAGCATATATAGTAGTCGGCGATAGTCGAGGACCGTGCTATATGGAACGCATGTAAGTTGTGTAGGGTGTGCCTCAGGGTCCTATGGTTGGTTTTACCGACGTGTTTCAAGGAGGTTCGGCGGTCCGTGCAGTAATGCTATCAGGACCCACATTGGTCATACAACCTGAAACACGTCTACAAACCCGCGATTCGTGTAACCGTGCGGTACCATCAATTCTACATTCACAGTATCACAGCATCTCACAACACCTTGCGGTTGTCAAAGCGGATCAGAAGGAGGTGATAGATATGGCGAAGCAGCTCTCACTGCCTCTTCCCCACTGTGGTCCATATAAATTGATGCAATCCCCGTATGACCTCCCTCAGTTTGATACTCCTTTCCCCCTCCAGTTCTTGAGAAAACATGAATACCCAAGGAATTCTTGCGGTGGTAACAATTGTGATGTATATCCCCTTTCTGTTTACTTCGTTTAAGGTGGCGTCCAAATGCGGCATATGGCGAGGCCGGTGGACCTCGTTACTGGTATTCTGCATCAGTAAGTCGTTTGATATTCTAGTCATAGCTTCAACTCTGTCATTTCTCTAGTACGAGTATTGGGTGGAGCTTTCCTTGTCGCAGCTGAAAAGATTACGCCTGCGAACAATGGACTATACACCGCGGGTTACATGCTAGAAGTAGTTGGCCTAGCTCCACTATTGCTTTCCACGCTTAGTCTGTTGCGCTTGATGTGGGCCATCACGTTGCTATTATTTTCTGGATAGGATGAGCTGATACCATCATAGATTTGATGGGCCTGATGGCGAACCAACAGATGAATCTATCTTCCACTCTCTTCGAACCTTCAACGCAGCAGGTGTACTCCTAACCGTCATCGGTTTCTTCACTGTATCACGTTCCAGCTCGGGCTCGAGCACCTTGCGCAAGTCAGGTTTCATCCTTTTCTCTATCCACTACATTGCCCTTGTCGGCATTTGCATCTTTCTGTGGACCAAAGTGCACCTTATCATGAAATACCGCAAGCGGGTGAGCTTGCAAGAGCACAATTATATATCTGACTAATGTTGTTACACTTCATTTTCAGCTCCTGAAGATGATATCCTTCGCACTTCCATTCCTGGCCGTTCGGACGATGTACGGCGTCCTATCCACGATCACTACGGATACATTTACCGGTTCGACAACCTCATCCAATACTAGCAGCCTGGCAGAATTCGACTTGGTCACGGGCAACTGGGAAATCTTCCTCGTAATGGACATGATCACGGAGTATGCGACTGTGATCTTCTACACTATTTCGGCCTTCGTACTGCCTCTCGATCAAGATTTCAAAGCCCCAGACTTTATTGAAGATGAGTTTCCCTTGAATGGGCCTTAATGGTGAACATCGAAGCGCCGGCGTATTAGGGTCGTGTCCAATTGCGAAACAGTAAGTTGGTTTCATGAATATGATGATACCATCCTGATGAAACATCTATTTGTTTGGTGCAATCAAGGTGTATCAGGAGTTTATTTATTGTACAAAATCACAAAGAAACATATCGTTCACGATTATGGATCAGTATGACCAACATATTAGAACAAGGCGCGGGTCGCCCTCGTGTCTCGTCAATGCAACCATCACTCCACATCTGAAGCGACTTGGACTCATTTATGGACTTTACGACGCCATGCTTCACTTTTTCACATAATCTCGCCCCATGCAGACCACGTCTTATCAGTCATTATTTCAGCCTTTGTCTCATACTTTTCAAAGTACATTCCATTGTTACTTTCTCTTCCTTCACCTTTCATTCTCGTCAGTACATGATATACCATACATTCTCTCGTACTTATGTAGAATCTATTCGTTCTGATCTCCAAAGTTCCAGGTTGGATATACCTTTATAGTTTCTCCCTCGAACACATCTCTAGCTAAATTGGCTTATACTTCTGGACGACGAGGTGTTCAAAGGTGATACATTAATGTCTAGATCTCATCATGTACGCAAGAGTTGCCTTGCTCGCAACGCCACGTTGATGGTCGTAGGAAATCTTCAGAATCTTGAGGCACTAAGGATTGATAGGCCTTGCGATGCAGACTCGTCGTTCGAAGTTGTTCCTAACCGATTGTGTACAAGGCTGTAACGATCAAGAGAAATCAGTATCAAATGTTTGCTGCTGACTGACAGACGACAACTGGTAACGACAGGAAACTCGAACGGATCGGGTTGTTGGATCCTCTGACGCAACATCATGATATACCTTGACCAGCGATCTGAGTCGTCCAAAAGTACAATCCTTGGAAATGATTGAACGAAGTAATGCTGTCACTAGACTCACTACTAAATTTCTCTAGTGGCTACACTCGAAGATGTCAGAGTTGCATAGTCAAGCACTTCCCATGCTGCCTCGAAAGGCAGTGGCAGAGTCTGGGAGGCGCTCCGGCTTAATTGAACTCCTGGTATGCCTTTTCTTCTCCCATCCAGCCGAATACCCAGAGCCGAGGCGGGCTGGCTAAGAGTTACTTTGCCAGGGCAAAGCTAGCTGAAGGTTGTTAAGTATGAAAAAGAAGAGAAAAGAAACGCGTTCGCTAATGTCTCGTGTATTGATGACATAAGCGATCGTGATTGGATGATGCTTAGGTACGGGATATGTACGAAGTCCGACTGATTACCCATACAACGAAAGCAATATTCAAAACACTGCAAGAAAATAGTATCTATGTGATTGACGTCACAATCATGAAGTGGTTCCAGCATCGACTCAATTGTTCACGAGAGTTCGCATATAGATGGGATGATCATCCTCTACTTTGTAAAGCCAAAAAGGACCTATGATGCGAAAGAGCTTATGAGTATAAGAGTACATGATGGACAGATGCTTGCATACCGACAGGATCGCCTGCAAAAGTAGAACTTGTGCAGCACCAGATCAAAAGCTAACTAATAGGTACTTACCATGGTCATGATGAACCCCTGTCCATGTTCCTATTACTCCAAACGCACTAGCAATGCCGCCAATTTGCACCCCTTCGGAGCTGAATATTGTGCATTATAAGCATTTTTGACGTTGTAACACCGTACAACTTACCTCCATTGAATATGCGAATTGGCAATAGATGCCTGGAGTAACTCATGCTATTTCGGTTTCGTATCTTGTGGAATCAGTAATAATAACAGGGCTCACAAATCGCCATCGTACTACGCCCCCTTCCGACATGGTTACAGAGCCAACGACGGTCGCCTCATTACCCTTTATGCCCCAGGATGATCCGGTGAAATACAGGGTGGGGTAGTGCGTATACGGGGAATCAGGGAAGTGGCCGAGTGTGTAGACTTCAGGTATTGTCTGAGCGTCTATGAGCGTCAGCTTGAGCTCAATAAGGCGCATAGCCTCTTCAAAATGTGGAGTGTCAAAATAGGTGCCATCTCGTTGTCCGTGGCCTCTGTTGCCATACTGCGGAATGTTTGAATATCAGGGTAAGCCTCAAAGAAAATCATTACATTGAATGCTGATGAACATATCAATGAATGTAAGAACTCGGATTACAAATATACTCACCAAACAAATCTCTGATGGTACAGCGAGACAATTGAGTGTTGGGCGAATAGATGGTAAACAAAAGTCATACCGATAATCCATGAAACAGACATATCTCCTCCAGTGACCTTCAATACCTGCCCAATCACCTGTTGCTAGTGATGTGGTGCCAGGTGCTGAATATGCTCGAGTAGCTTCGAGCCCATATCGCGGCCTTGTATCCGGCCAATCATTTAGACGGTCAGAAAGGTTCATAGATACAACGTTGATAATCGATTCTATGTGAGTCCAATCCACATCTCTTGCTATGATGTTGAATGGGCCCCAGTCGTTGTCTTGATGGTAATTTCGTAGGTCATAAACCTGACAGCGACTCCTCGTCCGTATTGATTTCAACCTTTCCTTCCCTTCGACGTCGTCATCATCGTACTCATCCAATGTCAGTGCAAGGTGTGCTCGCAGGCGAGCCAACGATTGGTTGCCCTCTTCTGAGAAGAGTAATGGCAAGTAGCGAAGCATATTTGTGGATTGCAACACTTCAACAACCCACAATAAATTGGGGGATGGAACACGTTCGTGTCCCCATGTAACGGGGGCTGCGCTTTGCACCACAGAAATAAAAGTCTCGATGGCCTTCAAGAGGTCTTCAAGGGTTGAACTTGTGCGACAAGCGATTAATTGCGCCTCCATTCGCCGATGTAGCTCCTTCCTCCAGTTGAATTGACCGTCTTCCTGAAATGGGGATGAGATCAACCGAGGATCGTCGAAGGGGAACAGAAGGAATAATTGGCGCCAAAGATATTGATCTGGGCTCCCATAAACCAGGCGGCGTGCTTTCCGGCAGGTCTGCGAGAACGACTCAACATCGCGAGGGTGGCAAAGGGTGAGAGTGTGTTCGGTTAACTCTGGTGGTATCTGGAAAACGCGACTTAGGGTTGTCGATGTCGCTGCCATTGTCGACACAAATTGGTTACTGATACGATGGTGAAGGGTGATATAGTACTAGTAGTACCAGTGGGAACGTGTACTTGTCTATATATACGCTTACTTATTGCGTAGTTTCGGCCGTACTAAGCCCAGCTTGCGGATAAGTCACATAGCCTCGTACCCTTCCTCTGTTACACTGCAATGATAATACATACTATGTAGTAGTACCAGGAGAACTTCCGACTCCGCGAATAGGTATGCAGTAATAATTGGGTCCTGTCGCAAATTCCTAATTTGGGTTTAAGTGCCTTGTCACGCATTTCAATATTCAAAGACCGAGCGTAGATTGAAAGTCCTTTCAATAATAGAGTCACGATTGCAATCACACTGTAACGACGGTTGCAATTACGATGGCAATTGCCGTTGCAACACGTGGCAATCAATCTTAGTCATTGTAATGAGTGATTTGGCTGGAAAGCCGCATGGCGTTGAAATCGATTGCAATGTCAAGTAGCAGCTTGTAATGCGAAATGAAGACCTGAAATCTTGGTTTTGATATTTTAATAGAGATCTTGAATTGTCATATTCTACCATAATTACAAGACAAGTATGAGCGGATACTCAATGGAAACCCTCTGAAGCCAAATCCCCCACTCCCTAATATACCCTGCATCTTTCCCTTGAATGAATGGGGCGCTTGTCCATCATTTCTGGATCCTTCTGTTGCTGCCGATACCTCTCACTAACCTTCTCCCTTCATCTAATAGGTCGCCATACATCATCCGGTCCAACCCTGCCCTTGTGCGGGAGATATTTGGTGACGAACAAGAGACCACCAAGCAAAGTGTGCTAGCCGCTGCCAAATGGCGATCGATGATGGGGCCTGACATGGGTAAAGGGCGCTTGGGTGGAACCGAGAGGTGGCATGCTGGTTGGGCGCTATGGGTATCCCGCAGGCATTTGGCAGTGGTCTAGGGAGTGGCGCCTTGCGTGTGGGTGGGGTGTGGCATGGGAAGGGTAACGGTTTGGTGGTCGCTGTGCGATGTGAGAAGACCTTGACAGTAATAAGCTTCAGCACACCAAATTAGATATTCTACATACCAGTAGTAGCGCGGACACCATTGGGAATTGGGCCACGACGGTGCAGTCTGGGTTGGCATTAAAACATTAGCGAAAAGTATCAAGTATCAATATAATAAAAAGACTGACCTGTAACTGCGATTATTCGTTGGACACACTGTCAATGGATGGTTCAGAATGTCTGTACCATTGACCAACGAAAGGCATAAGGTCACTAGACAATGAGAACTTTTCAATAATTGTCGCCCCAAAAAAAGACTGCACACCGTTTGCCATGTGCTCGACGTCAAATCACTGGTAACATTGACTTGTGTGGAGGTTATTAATGGAGGGGAAGAGGGATTCAGTCAAGAGAGGAATCGACGGAAAGTCCGAGCAGAGCGACGACAAGTCTAAGTCTAAGCGACGTTACAGTCACACTGACAATGTGGTTGTTGTAAGAGATGTAAACCGGTGTGAAAACTTTACAATGAATAATAAATGATTGTTATGTAAGCATCACTTACCCGCGATTCAGATCAAGCAGCTGTAGGATAATCTGTGACTCGGATTCCTCAATTTTATCCCCAAGAATGTCGGCGGACGACTCCCAGAAATCAAAATATGTATCTGGTTTAGTTGGTACGTTCAAACTTTACTCAGCTCCCCTCTCCTGGCTATATTACAATCTCTGATGATTCAGACACAACCATCTCCCATGCCCACCCCCCTGACGTTTGGTTCGAGCAATCAGCCCCCGCATTGCAACGTTATGCCCATGAAAGGGTTTGTTCACGAGGTTCTTCGTTGTTCTCGCACGTCAGGCAGCGTTCTACAGACAGCGCTCTGTTATCTGGATGCAATCTGCGCCAAGGTCCCAGAGTTGGTCTCACAGGAGAAGGGTCGCCTGGGTCCACTTGCGAAAAGGAATCAGCTGAACGTATTGTCCAGGGTGAGGTATCCACATCAATCCTATTGCACTTAAGGCTGACTCTATTTGTATCCATGCAGCAACCGCGAAATGGTTCATGGAGACTAGCCTTATTGTTTCACCAATATCTTGCACTGTCATGGCTCGCCTCTGGTGGCAAGGCCTCGTGTGTGTGTCAGGCGGCACGCCACACTACCCGCACAAACCTTCTATTGCGAAGACTCTTGTTTGGCGACAATTTTGTTTGCCATTGAGACTAGGAATGGTTAGCAGTCCGAACAGCTCCAAGATCAGTCCACCCGCTCTTTTGAGCTGCAGAATGACAAGATGTGTATTGACGCTGAGTGATTTGACAGAGAACAGCAAGGGTATTAGCTAGCTATCATGTATTATATCACTTAGACTTTACGAGAACGTCCACGACGAGTAGGACCCTGCGTCGCTACAACCTTCCTCCCCCTAGTATTCTTGGCCTTTGCTTGTCCTCCACCCGATTCCGTCCTATCATCATCAGCTTCATCTGCATTGTTAGCTACTGCATTGACACTTGTATTCGAATCATTAGCGCGAATGACAGCCCTAGATACTGATTCGTCTGGATGTGTGACTGGCTGAGTGACGAGATTTGAACCTTCAGGTCCAGGCGCCAATGAAGGAGCTGGTAAGGCTGATATTGCCGAGGGTAATACTGAGAGTGCCGACAAGACCGGTGGAGTCACTGGAGTGTCTTCTTCGCTATCAGTGTCCATGTCAAGTGCTAGCATGGCGCGGTTGATCTCCTCTGAAAAATCTTCGGCACCAGCAGGATCCATCGATGTAGACAACTTTGCAGCACCGAAAACGTAGCGATTGATGTTAGTCACGATGGTTTTGATACGTTTTGTCTCCCACTTCGTAATTAGCAACTTCTTGTATTGAAAGAAGAGGTCCTTGTAGTTGATAGTTGACGACTTGCCAACTCCCGAACCTGGAAACTCTGTGTCTGGCGAGAGCAGAAAAATGACCTGTGTTGCAGTAGTGTATGAGTAGTAGAACGATTCAATGTCATCAAAATGACTTACAATAACCGCAGCCCATGCAATGGACCCTGGTGTGACTTGTTGCAAACTCCACTTCCGAGCGTTAGTCTTCGATCCACCACAAGGCTCTTGATGAAGCGAGGTGACGCCATAGAGTGAGGCCCTCAGGATCTAGATATGCCAGTATCAGTAGAGTACTAGTGAGCAGCAGGACAATTATGAGAGAATGATAGCGCACCTTTGCAAAAAGTGTCCAGTTGCCGAAAACGGTCTTGAGGGTTGTGTCTTCTTGGAGACTTGGGAACAAGAGAGGCGGAAAAATCTTGTAAGTCTGAGTCTTGCCGGAAACTCCAAACATCTTCTGAATGTCGACAATCGCAGCTCTGTCATAACTGGCATTGGCAAAGTATTTTCCCGGAAGCTCGAATATGTCTCCAGCAACGCCACGCAATTTCTTGATTTCGTTAGAACGAGCATCGGCGATGCACTTATTTACCTGTAACAACCAAATACATTAGGTAGTGGCTAGAATGAAAAGCAAAATTGACATACGAGGTCTTTGAAGTACTCGCTACCCATTACCGTTTCATGGATGCGTTCAGGGAAATGTGCATAGAGTTCATCTAAGAAAGCAGACTCTTGAGTTGCCGACGTCTTGTAACGATCAGCACTATTAAAAGGTGTAGGTGAATCGGGGCGCTTCTTGATGAGAAGCTCGCTGTCTGGGAACATCTCCACTGTCATGCCATATTTGCGGGCATACAACGAGATAGTTTGCTCATGGGCGACGAGGGCATCCGGTGCTTCTACACGCCGTTTCCGTTTAGGCTTCTCGGAAACCAGAACCTTATTTTTCTCCTTAAGGGCACGATTGTCTGCACGCAGCTGCTGAACCTCAAGCTGCAGCGCTTTGAGTGCCTGTATTGAGGAGAGTGTACGTTAGACAGCGTTATGCGATGAAGACGGTGGCTACATACTTCCATTAACTCTCCCTTGGAGGCATTAGGCCCTGGGATGTTATTCGAGACCTGGTCCGTATTGCCTTCGTCCCAGTCGCTATCTGAATCATCATCTGACACCCGCGCTGAGAGATGAGACATGTTCTAGATGCTCGATGGTAAGGTGACGGAGAAAACAGTGTGAATGTCACCCTAATATATAGGATGAGATGTACTGCTTACCTCGTGTATACTAGACGTAACATTACTGCGAGTGACGACATTGATTCAGTCTTGCGCGTAATAATACCAGTGAACTAATGAGAGGCACGTAAACAAAAACACGACTGAAGGCCACATGTTGATGGAAGAGCGACCTACCCTAGTCATTCTCTCTCACACATCGGCACGTCAATGCCAAGGAACCTATTGGAGTTAAAGCAATTGCAGCATTCATGGCGGCGTTAGAGGTCTATGACAAGCAAGGTCAGATCAAGACGTAAAAAACATTATAACAGAGGTCACAAACAACGCGACATCTGAAACACGCTGTTCCAATGCTGCTGTCATAGATTGCACGAAGTCTGTATGAGGTGAGTTGGTAGATCAGATAGACTGGGATCGAATTGCCCGGTTTCATTTGTGGGGTATTCATAGGCATGGAGGGGAAGTTGGGTGGTATGATAGGAGGGTTGGACTGAGGGTCATGAAAAGACGGGGCAGAGGGAGGGACACGCTGGGTGGAGGTAAGACCGAATTGCTGCTGAATCTGTTGTGGTTGCCAACGCCCGGGGGATTCGAAGCCGGAGGTACTGAAGGTGTCCCGTTCGGAGCAGGAGACTGCATGATACTTGAGTTGATGGTATTGGGAGTCGGGTGGCCTGGAGCAGCAGGAGCGTTGTGAGGTGACCCTTCTGGTATACCTGAAGGGTTATTGATCATGATGGGTTTGACATCCTTCTGATCTTTCATGGGACCACCCATAGCTGGTGACGCAGGTGGCGCCATGCCGCCCATAGGTTTGGCTTGAGCCAAGTTCTGGCCGATTCGATTGTTCTGGGGACCAGCAAACTGTTGTTGACCTTGCACAGGATGGAAACCTTGCTCAGAAGCACCGGGAGCGGCTGCCGCTAATAGGTTCTTTGTCGTTGCGGTCATACTCTGTCGGTACTGCAAGGCCTTCAGAACAGTTGAGGGGCAGCCAAGGGCTGCAACAAAATCGACGACTTACTGCATGAAGATAGCCTAGTATAATTAGACCATTAGTGAGACAACGAGCGAAGAAAATGAGAGGCTTACCAGGCATAGAGAGAGGAAGCCGACTTGAAGGGATACAATCAAATGCGTATTGGATGCCCTGCTGCAAGATGTAGCTCCTTTACACGAATGAACATGTCAGAGTCGACAGTGTCGACGACAAGGTAATCGGTACTGCCATCCGGCACAAGGAGAGCTCCGCGAATGATTGACCTCACTGAGAAAAACTCGGCTTGCGCTCGGGGTCTTGCTCGAACACGATAGATATTGAGGTGTTTGTCCTTTCGGAGCCGTACACCAGTGGGAGCGTCAAAAGGATGGATTAGAGCTAGAGAGAGCGTGATATCCCCAACTATACATTCAAACAGAAAGAGAAGGCGACCAAATATCACTTTGGCTTCTGTCTGAATGAAAACACAATCAAAACGCGCAGCATTGAAAAACTTGGGACTGCATCTAAGGTAGTCGGTGTGTAGTCGCCAATCCACCAAGGACTCGTAGTTAACCTTCAAAAAACGGCACTCAGTGATCTGTTTAACGATATTAGTGTAGCGAAACATAGAGCCGAACTGAACATGACCAACCTTATCACTTGCTTTGAATTGTACCCGCTTTCCACCTGGTAAAGGGAGCCGAATAACTTGAAGAAAGTCAGTCAAGAAATTATTGAGCTTGACCCGAAAATTAGTGAACGCGGCATCCTCCTTATGAGCATCCTCGATCAACTCAAAGGTCTGCGCAGCTTGCCTCGACCCAAGTCTTACATGAGGCGCATTTGCATCCGGCGAGACCAGATCATCCACATCTCCTAAATCCTCCAGGTCACCCGAATCTTCGCTGCCTCCGGACTCATACTCGTCTAGGTCTGATATGTGGCGGCGAATGCTCTCCGCAACCACTTGCCAATGGTTTATGCGGAGTATCTGCAATGAAATTGGTATCAAAATGATAGTTAGAGTGAAAAGAACGTCACCTGAGGCGCCACATCCCTGAAATTAGTGCGCAATAAGTACGAGTCTTTCAGCGACCCATGCATCCTTTCATTCGGCTTTGTATTGTAGTTACGTGTCGCACCTTTTGCTTCGATATTGTCAAAAATGTGCACACTCATGTGCAGTTTGGGGAAGTTCCAGTTTTTGTCGCTCTCATCAGCGCTTTTCTCTATATATTGCTATCATAGGCTTAATCAGTGGATAATTGTCTGAGTGAACTGAGGTAGACACACCTGAAGATAAGTCGAGAATGCCTGCACTGCATGTCGGCCGGCACTGATAGTCTCAGTGGTGTGAACTTCAAGCGCCGCATATGCGTCAACTTCGAGAAAGTGCCGAATGCAACGGAGTAGGAGATAGCCGAGTGGACTGTCGTC